TAGCCCATCTGCTTCAAGGTTGGACATGTTGTGCGTTCAGAGATGGTATTCTGCATACCTTGGGTGTAACAAGTGGTTATTGGAGTTACTGTTGCCTTTCCTTCATCTGGAACCAGCTGCCCATTCCCCTCTGACCTCTGACCTCAACAAGGCATTTTCCTCCACACAACTGCCACTCACTGGATATTTTCTCTTTTTCGGACCATTCTCTGTAAACCTTAGAGATGGTTGTGCGGGAAAATCCCAGGAGATCGGCAGTTTTCTAAATACTCAGACCAGCCCATTTGGCACCACCAACCATGCCACGTTCAAGGTCACTTAAATCCCCTTTCTTCCCCAGTTTGAACTTCAGCAAGTCATCTTCACCGCATCTGATGCGTAAATGCATGGAGTTGCTGTGATTGGCCGATTAGCCATTTGTGTTACCAAGTGTACCTAATACAGAGGCCGGTGAGTGTACAGTGGGGATGGAAAGTTTGGGCCCCCCAGCTAAAATTTTGTATTAATGTGCATAAAGAAGCCAAGGAAAGATGGAAAAAATCTCCAAAAGGCATCAAATTACAGATTAGACATTCTTATAATATGTCAACAAAAGTTAGATTTTATTTCCATCATTTACACTTTCAAAATAACAGAAAACAAAAAAATGGCGTCTGCAAAAGTTTGGGCCCCCTGCAGAGTTAATATCTTGTACTGCCCCCTTTGGCAAGTATCACAGCTTGTAAACGCTTTTTGTAGCCAGCCAAGAGTCTTTCAGTTCTTGTTTGAGGTATCTTTGCCCATTCTTCCTTACAAAAGTCTTCCAGTTCTTTGAGATTTCTGGGCTGTCTGTCACGCACGGCTCTTTTAAGGTCTATCCATAGATTTTCAATGATGTTGAGGTCAGGAGATTGTGAAGGCCATGGCAAAACCTTCAGTTTACGCCTCTTGATGTAATCCCCCATGGATTTCGAGGTGTGTTTAGGATCATTATCCATTTGTAGAAGCCATCCTCTCTTTAACTTCAGCTTTTTCACAGATGGCATCAAGTTACTATCCAAAATTTGCTGAAATTTTATTGAATCCAATTTTCCTTCTACTCGTGAGATGTTCCCTGTGCCACTGGCTGCAACACAACCCCAAAGCATGATTGATCCAACCCCATGCTTCACAGCTGGACAGAGGTTCTTTTCATTAAATTCTGTGGCCCTTCTTCTCCAAACGTACCTTTGCTCATTCTGGCCAAAAAGTTCAATTTTAACCTCATCGGTCCACAGAACTTGTTTCCAAAATGCATCAGGCTTGTCTATATGTTCATTTGCAAAGTTCAAACGATGATTTTTGTGGTGAGGACGTAGAAGAGGTTTTCTTCTGATGACTCTTCCATGAAGACCATATTTGTACAAGTATCTCTTTATAGTGGAATAGTGACCACAACTCCAGTGTCTGCCAGATCTTTCTGGAGGGATCGTGCAGTCAAACGTGGGTCTTGAATGGTTTTTCTCACAATCCTGCGAGCTGTTCTGTCTGATATTTTTCTTGGTCTTCCAGATCTTGCTTTAACTTCCACTGTTCCTGATGACTGCCATTTCTTAATTACATTCCGAACAGAGGATATTGACATCTGAAAACGCTTTGCTATCTTCTTATAGCCTTCTCCAGCTTTGTGAGCGTCAACTATTTTCAGTTTCAGTTTTCTAGACAACTGCTTAGAAGAACCCATGGTGCTGATTGTTGGGGCAAGGTCAGATGAGTCGGGGCATTTAAAACCTTTGAGATTGACATCACCTGGTCTTCCCAGACGATGATTGAGAACAATCCATGACACTGGCAGGTCTCAGCTTGGCAAAGGGGGCAGTGCATGCTATAAATTCTGCAGGGGGCCCAAACTTTTGCAGACGCCATTGTTTTGTTTTCTGTTATTTTGAAAGTGTAAATGATGGAAATAAAATCTAACTTTTGTTGACATATTATAAGAATGTCTAATCTGTAATTTGATGCCTTTTGGAGATTTTTCCATCTTTCCTTGGCTTCTTTATGCACATTAATACAAATTTTTAGCTGGGGTGCCCAAACTTTCCATCCCCACTGTATATACGGGGAAGAGTTTATTTTGTAACATAATATCTCTAAGGAGTCGGTCCAGCCACGTGTGGTTAGGTGTCGGTGTCGGTCAGGTGACCCCGGATCTGGTGACACCATCCATCTCCTGCCCATCCCTCGGATGGTCTCCATGGCAGTGGAGTGAAGCTGTCCCGGCAGGGAGGAGGGAGCTGTTGATGTTCGGTCTCATAGTAACATTCACCCTGCAGGTATATAAAACCTCCCAGGATGGAAGGGATGCAGAGACTGACCTGCCCTGACCACAGAGCCGACCTCCATCCAACATGGCCGAGCCCAGGACCATCCCCAGCGAGCCCATGCCCCTGGACATGGACAACCGAGACCCCAACAATATGAACGAGCACGTCAGAGTGAGTATGGGGCCCCGGCTGGCTCAGGGATCCACCAAACAGGGACACTCAGCTTGGACCATAGAAGTCAGGGCCGGGCAAGGGGGGGGGGGGGGGGGCAGGAGGGGCGGCTGTCCTGGGCACTGCGGGGTCAGGTTCCCCATCACATCAGAGTCCCTCATCACATCAGAGGTCCCTCATCACATCAGAGGATCCCCATCACATCAGAGTCCCTCATCACATCAGAGGTCCCTCATCACATCAGAGTCCCTCATCTCATCAGAGGTTCCCCATCACATCAGAGTCCCTCATCACATCAGAGGTCCCTCATCACATCAGAGGTTCCCCATCACATCAGAGGTCCCTCATCACATCAGAGGTCCCTCATCACAGCAGAGGTCCCTCATCACATCAGAGGTCCCTCATCACATCAGAGGTCCCCCCATCACAGCAGAGGTCCCTCATTACAGCAGAGTCCCTCATCACATCAGAGGTCCTATAATCACATCAGAGGTCCCCCCCATCACATCAGAGGTCCCTCATCACATCAGAGGTCCCTCATCACATCAGAGGTTCCCCATCACATCAGAGGTCCCTCATCACATCAGAGGTCCCTCATCACATCAGAGTATCTCATCACATCAGAGGTTCCCCTTCACATCAGAGGTCCCTCATCACATCAGAGGTCCCCCCATCACAGCAGAGGTCCCCCCATCACATCAGAGGTCCCTCATCACATCAGAGGTCCCCCCATCACAGCAGAGGTCCCTCATCATATCAGAGGTCCCTAATCACAATAGAGGTTCCCCATCACATCAGAGGTCCTTTATCACATCAGAGGTTCCTCATCACATCAGAGTTTCTCCCTTCATATCAGAGTCCCCCTTTCACATCAGAGGTTCCTCCTACACATCAGAGGTTCCCCCATCACAACAGAATTTCTCCCTTCATACCAGAGTCCCCCCTTTTACATCAGAGGTTCCCCATCACATCAGAGGTTCCCCATCACATCAGAGGTTCCCCCATCACATCAGACTTTCTCCCATCACATCAGAGCCCCTCGTTTCCCATCAGATGTCCTCCATCATATCAGAGGATTCCCCATCACGGCAGAGCTTCTCCCTTCATATCAGAACCCCCCCCCTTCACATCAGAAGTCCCCCATCACATCAGAGGTTCCCCAAACAAATTAGAGGTCCCTCAATACATCAGCGGTTCCCCCATCATATCAGAGTTCCCCCATCACATCAGAAGTCCCCCATCACATCAGAGGTTGCCCCATCACATCAAATTCCCTCCTTTCACATCAGAGGTTCCCCCGTCACATCAGAGGTTGCCCCATCACATCAGAAGCCCCCCATCACATCAGATTCCCTCCTTTCACATCAGAGGTCCCCCATCACATCAGGGGTTCCCCCAACACATCAGAGGTCCTCTCATCACATCAGAGGTTCCCCCATCACATCAGGGGTTCCCCTAACACATCAGAGGTCCTCTCATCACATCAGAGGTTCCCCCAACACATCAGAGGTCCTCCCATCACATCAGAGGTCCCCACATCACATCAGAGGTCCCCCCATCACATCAGAGGTTCCCTCAACACATCAGAGGTCCCCCATCATATCAGAGGTCCTTCATTATATCAGGAGTTCCCCCGACACATCAGAGGTCCTTCATTAAATCAGAAGTTCCCCAAACACATCAGAGGTCTCCCATCACATCAGAGTCACCCTTCTGGTCAGAGTCCCCGTATACATCAGAGGACCCCCGTCAACTCATGACACTGATCCGGGACAAATTGTGTCTCATGTTTATGACACCCTGGGGGAACCCAGACAGCACTCTGGCCTGGCGTATACTGTAGGTACTCGATGGGCAGATCCAATGCTGATCATTTTTACTTTAGGATTCTTATTACTCAGGTTCCTGACCGATGGGCCTTGCAGTTGACTGCTTGTAGCACCCCAGTTGGCTTTTCCATTTCCAAGGGGTTCTTGGAGCTTCAGAAACCTTTCTGGATGCCAAAAAAACCTCTCTTGGTGTCAGTAAGTTCCCATTTCTGCCCATTCCGCAGGGTTGTCATCAGGGGCGGACTGACCATTTGGAAACTCGGGCACTGTAGGGGGCCCCATGAGATGCCCCTGGTACCTTTTTCATAGGCTTTTTTGAGTTTGGGCAAGGACACAGGGGCCCATGATCCCCTATTGCCCGGGGGCCCCATGAGTTGTCAGTCCGCCCCTGGTTGTCACCATCTTTGCTGGAACACTTCTAGGTGGGCAAGGTCACCAAATCTTTGGTAGGTTTCTGCAGGTCTTGGGGCTGATATGTAAAACATGGTACCGATGCCGGGATAAGGTCACTTACCGTCCAAAGCAAAGAATGCAGCACCCTCGGGACCTGGTAATGACTACAGCAGCATAGGTTGTAGGTCTCGCCCTTTTTGTTCCCCCCTCCTGTTGAAGCACCCAAGTTTCCCCTCCTCTGAACTGTCTTCTCTCCTAACAGGTCCTCTTTGAAGATGCCTTCGGAGAGCCGGAAGGGTCGCACAGTATCCCGGGGGTCTGGGGAATGTCCTACAAGACGTTCAACGGGGTGAAGAACTGCTGTTACATCGTGCTCTCCGTGCTGTGCGGTTGCCCACTGGCCTTCTGCTGGGCCCTGGAGTTCGCCTGCGTCCAGTGCTGCCACATCTGGTGCGTGGGGCCCTGCATACGCATGTGGAACATGAACTTCTCCTGTATGAAGCTCTTCTGGAGCTCCTGCGTCCACTGTCTATGCGACCCGTGCTACGAGTCCCGCGGCCTGTGCCTCAGCTTCATCAAGGTCCACAAAACGGAAGGATAAATGGACTGACAACCCCGACACCGATCCCCAAACCCGGACCTGGGCAGCCCAACCAGCACCGCCAATGCCCAACCTGACCCTCCCAGTCACTGTGGCCCTTCACCGCCTACGGCAATACCGAGCCGCGACTGTCATTGATTCTGTATATCTCATATATGAATAAAGAGTTTTCCGGGTCAGGCTCAGTTCCGTGTGCGGGAAATGTGTTCATACAACCAGGGGCGGACTGACAACTCATGGGGCCCCCGGGCAATAGGGGATCATGGGGCCCCTGTGTCTTTGCCCACACTTAAACCACACCCAAAAATGCCTATGAAAGGTACCAGGGGCATCTCATGGGGCCCCCTACTGACCCCAGGCCCTTGGGCAGTGTTAGAGTTCTCCAATGGTCAGTCCACCTCTGCATACAACGGCTTTATAGAACCCAAAATCACATTCCTAGATTCCGTGTCGGATGTATTACATGCATGTCATGAATGTGCCGGCGTGACCTTCCAGGTATGTATTCCCTCTCACAATGGGCACCGTACTCCCCCCCGGCCTTCATCTGCTCTTCTCTCCAGAGAGACGGCACCAACTTTGTTTAGGCATCATTCAGGGCCACCATTCAGGGTCATCATTCAGGGTCACCATTCAGGGCCACCATTCAGGGCCACCATTCAGGGTCACCATTCAGGGTCACCCTTCAGGGTCAACATCTACTTCCAGGACTGAGAAGACAGCCCAGAAATGATACATTCATGTATATCTTAGTGAGCCAGATCAGCCTCCTGCTGCAGCCTCTTACCTTGTGATTTTCTACAATGTACAGTCTGATCACTGGGGGAGGGGAGACTGAGGAAATGCCTCCTCCTTCTACAAAGTTACAATGTACAGTCTGATCACCGGGGGAGGGGAGATTGAGGAAATGCCCCCTCCTCCTTCCACAAAGTTACAATGTACAGTCTGATCAATGGGGGAGGGGAGACTGAGGAAATGCCCCCTCCTCCTTCCACAAAGTTACACTGTACAGTATGATCACTGGGGGACTGGAGACTGAGGAAATGCCTCCTCCTTCCACAAAGTTACACTGTACAGTCTGATCACTGGGGGAGGGGAGACTGAGGAAATGCCTCCTCCTTCTTCTACAAAGTTACAATGTACAGTCTGATCACTGGGGGAGGGGAGACTGAGGAAATGCCTCCTCCTCCTTCTACAAAGTTACAATGTACAGTCTGATCACTGGGGGAGGGGAGACTGAGGAAATGCCCCCTCCTCCTTCTATAAAGTTACACCGTACAGTCTGATCACTGGGGGAGGGGAGACGGAGGAAATGCTTTCTCCTCCATGGTTGACTTACTATGTGTGAAATCAGTGAATGATCACAGAGATCACATGGTACAGGACCATTAACAACAGCCTTGTACCATGTGACAAGCTGTGACCAATCACAGCTCACTCAGTATTTCTCAATGACTGCAAGAATGCAGCCAGAGAGAAGGAGAAATGATTGTACAGCCTTTATGGGTGTAAAAGCAATCAGTGTAAAAAAAAAAAAATCTTTATCTCCCCCCACAAGTAGTACAGTGTCACCATGGTGACTGCACTGCTAGGGTGACAGTACGTTAAAAAAAACATAAATAATAATATAAAAAAAATAAAATTAAAATGTGAAAAATTTCAAAAAATTATAATTTTTGGTTATAAACTAATTTGGATTATATTTTTTACTAAAAAGATAACGGAATACATTTTGGCCAAGATTTATGATGAAATATTATTTATTTGCAAAATTTTAAGAAAAACCACTTTTTTTCAAAATGTTTGGACTTTTTCATTTATATAGAAAAAAAAATAAAAATCCCGGCGGTGAATAAATACCACCAAAAGAAAGCTTTATCTGTCTCAAAAAAATGCTAAAAACTTCATATGGGTACAGTGTTGCATGACCGCGCAATTGTCATTCCAAGTGTGACAGCGCTGAAAGCTAAAAATTGGCCTGGACAGGAAGGGGGTAGAAGTGCCCTGTAGGCAGGAAGGGGGTAGAAGTGCCCTGTAGGCAGGAAGGGGGTAGAAGTCCCCGGTAGGCAGGAAGGGGGTAGAAGTGTCCTGTAGGCAGGAAGGGGGTAGAAGTGCCCTGTAGGCAGGAAGGGGGTAGAAGTGCCCTGTAGGCAGGAAGGGGGTAGAAGTGTCCTGTAGGCAGGAAGGGGGTAGAAGTGCCCGGTGGGCAGGAAGGGGGTAGAAGTGCCCTGTAGGCAGGAAGGGGGTAGAAGTGCCCTGTAGGCAGGAAGGGGGTAGAAGTGTCCGGTAGGCAGGAAGGGGGTAGAAGTGCCCGGTAGGCAGGAAGGGGGTAGAAGTGCCCGGTGGGCAGGAAGGGGGTAGAAGTGCCCGGTAGGCAGGAAGGGGGTAGAAGTGTCCGGTAGGCAGGAAGGGGGTAGAAGTGTCTGGTAGGCAGGAAGGGGGTAGAAGTGCCCTGTAGGCAGGAAGGGGGTAGAAGTGTCTGGTAGGCAGGAAGGGGGTAGAAGTGTCCGGTAGGCAGGAAGGGGGTAGAAGTGCCCAGTGGGCAGGAAGGGGGTAGAAGTGTCCGGTAGACAGGAAGGGGGTAGAAGTGCCCGGTAGGCAGGAAGGGGGTAGAAGTGCCCTGTAGGCAGGAAGGGGGTAGAAGTGCCCGGTAGGCAGGAAGGGGGTAGAAGTGCCCGGTGGGCAGGAAGGGGGCAGAAGCGCCCGGTAGGCAGGAAGGGGGTAGAGGCGCCCGGTAGGCAGGAAGGGGGCAGAAGCGCCCGGTAGGCAGGAAGGGGGTAGAGGCGCCCGGTAGGCAGGAAGGGGGTAGAGGCGCCCGGTAGGCAGGAAGGGGGCAGAAGCGCCCGGTAGGCAGGAAGGGGGCAGAGGCGCCCGGTAGGCAGGAAGGGGGCAGAAGCGCCCGGTAGGCAGGAAGGGGGTAGAAGCGCCCGGTAGGCAGGAAGGGGGCAGAAGCGCCCGGTAGGCAGGAAGGGGGCAGAAGCGCCCGGTAGGTAGGAAGGGGGCAGAGGCGCCCGGTAGGCAGGAAGGGGGCAGAAGCGCCCGGTAGGCAGGAAGGGGGGTAGAAGGGCCCGGTAGGCAGGAAGGGGGCAGAAGCGCCCGGTAGGCAGGAAGGGGGCAGAAGCGCCCGGTAGGCAGGAAGGGGGGTAGAGGCGCCCGGTAGGCAGGAAGGGGGCAGAAGCGCCCGGTAGGCAGGAAGGGGGTAGAAGTGCCCGGTAGGCAGGAAGGGGGCAGAAGCGCCCGGTAGGCAGGAAGGGGGCAGAAGCGCCCGGTAGGCAGGAAGGGGGTAGAGGCGCCCGGTAGGCAGGAAGGGGGCAGAAGCGCCCGGTAGACAGGAAGGGGGTAGAGGCGCCCGGTAGGCAGGAAGGGGGTAGAAGTGCCCTGTAGGCAGGAAGGGGGTAGAAGTGCCCGGTAGGCAGGAAGGGGGCAGAAGCGCCCGGTAGGCAGGAAGGGGGTAGAGGCGCCCGGTAGGCAGGAAGGGGGGCAGAAGCGCCCGGTAGGCAGGAAGGGGGTAGAGGCGCCCGGTAGGCAGGAAGGGGGTAGAGGCGCCCGGTAGGCAGGAAGGGGGCAGAAGCGCCCGGTAGGCAGGAAGGGGGTAGAGGCGCCCGGTAGGCAGGAAGGGGGTAGAAGCGCCCGGTAGGCAGGAAGGGGGCAGAAGCGCCCGGTAGGCAGGAAGGGGGTAGAAGTGCCCTGTAGGCAGGAAGGGGGCAGAAGCGCCCGGTAGGCAGGAAGGGGGCAGAAGCGCCCGGTAGGCAGGAAGGGGGTAGAGGCGCCCGGTAGGCAGGAAGGGGGCAGAAGCGCCCGGTAGACAGGAAGGGGGTAGAAGTGCCCGGTAGGCAGGAAGGGGGTAGAAGTGCCCTGTAGGCAGGAAGGGGGTAGAAGTGCCCGGTAGGCAGGAAGGGGGTAGAAGTGCCCGGTGGGCAGGAAGGGGGCAGAAGCGCCCGGTAGGCAGGAAGGGGGTAGAGGCGCCCGGTAGGCAGGAAGGGGGCAGAAGCGCCCGTAGGCAGGAAGGGGGTAGAGGCGCCCGGTAGGCAGGAAGGGGGTAGAGGCGCCCGGTAGGCAGGAAGGGGGCAGAAGCGCCCGGTAGGCAGGAAGGGGGCAGAGGCGCCCGGTAGGCAGGAAGGGGGGCAGAAGCGCCCGGTAGGCAGGAAGGGGGTAGAGGCGCCCGGTAGGCAGGAAGGGGGTAGAAGCGCCCGGTAGGCAGGAAGGGGGCAGATGCGCCCGGTAGGCAGGAAGGGGGCAGAAGCGCCCGGTAGGTAGGAAGGGGGCAGAGGCGCCCGGTAGGCAGGAAGGGGGCAGAAGCGCCCGGTAGGCAGGAAGGGGGTAGAAGGGCCCGGTAGGCAGGAAGGGGGCAGAAGCGCCCGGTAGGCAGGAAGGGGGCAGAAGCGCCCGGTAGGCAGGAAGGGGGTAGAGGCGCCCGGTAGGCAGGAAGGGGGCAGAAGCGCCCGGTAGGCAGGAAGGGGGTAGAAGTGCCCGGTAGGCAGGAAGGGGGCAGAAGCGCCCGGTAGGCAGGAAGGGGGCAGAAGCGCCCGGTAGGCAGGAAGGGGGTAGAGGCGCCCGGTAGGCAGGAAGGGGGCAGAAGCGTCCGGTAGGCAGGAAGGGGGTAGAAGCGCCCGGTAGGCAGGAAGGGGGCAGAAGCGCCCGGTAGGCAGGAAGGGGGCAGAAGCGCCCGGTAGGCAGGAAGGGGGCAGAAGCGCCCGGTAGGCAGGAAGGGGGCAGAAGCGCCCGGTAGGCAGGAAGGGGGCAGAAGCGCCCGGTAGGCAGGAAGGGGGTAGAGGCGCCCGGTAGGCAGGAAGGGGGCAGAAGCGCCCGGTAGGCAGGAAGGGGGTAGAAGTGCCCGGTAGGCAGGAAGGGGGCAGAAGCGCCCGGTAGGCAGGAAGGGGGCAGAAGCGCCCGGTAGGCAGGAAGGGGGTTAGAGGCGCCCGGTAGGCAGGAAGGGGGCAGAAGCGCCCGGTAGGCAGGAAGGGGGCAGAAGCGCCCGGTAGGCAGGAAGGGGGCAGAAG